TGAGAACCCTAATTTACAAGGCCTTGGTTGTTTTTCATATTCTTATGAGATTTTAAAATAATTATTTTCACACCCCAAATAAGGTAAAAATTAATGTGAAAATGAAGACTATGTTGATGGTTGTATTTTATCGAAAATACTTTTATATATAGCAATGTTGCACAGACTTAAGCGCCGGATTTGATGTGGTCATTATATTTGTCATTGATTTAATTGTGAGTCCCAGTATTAATTGAGACATATTATCTTTTCAATGATAGTGATTCATCGAGTTAAATTTTTAAATTAATTTTTTAAAATCTATTTAATATTTTCTCTCTTTTATATATAAGTGACACTGAACAATTCAGAAAATAATTGTGAACAATTAATTTACATTAATTTCCATGTATTATGCATCATTCAATGTGAGATAGACAATAAAAGAAGATTTTTGTCGGACATGGCCAAGTTAACTAACGCTAACAATCCACCGTTGATTTACACGCTCTTCATGAGCGAGTGGGGTCAAACTCTTTTAAGCCTTTGCTCTGTCGGCACTCCAAGAATCCATCAGCACCAACTGACCGGTGATCCACGGGCCACCCCGTTAGCCCAATGGTTTCTCTCCGGATTAGGGCTGGATTTGCGATCCATGGACCATAATCAACACTACAGCCCACTGATTAAGGACATGGGTCATGGCTTGACCAGCCACACCCCATTAGCCCGATAAAAGATTTTGATAAATAAATTAATTGAAAAACAATTAAGATTTTGATAATTCGTGTTAGTGTGATAGTGAATCCGATTGAATATAGATAGCTATTAGTACTCCACAAATTCAGATAAATAAAATCTAAATAAGCATGGAGCATCGCCCAAAGGCTACAATAGTAAACACTAATATTGATAAGCCTTTGGAGGCATTGTGTCAATGTAACGATAACGATGATATGACTCGTGTCAATCAAATGAACTTCACTTATTTGTGTTCAATTTTTCTACAATTAATTTTTAACTACATATGAATGATTGATAAAAACGGCGTTTTGTTGAGGATCCTCATTCTATTTACTTACACGTGATAATAGTTATTAAATTACAAACAATGTTATTGAGTTTTTAAAATTTCAGCCTAAGCAAATTGTTAGACTTTTTTTAAATTTAAACTTCATAAAACTTCATACATTATTAAATCACATAAATAAGTTTATGATACCTTTCAAATTTTTTTTAATATTGTGAAACCCGAGCATACATGCATAAGACGTGAATATAAAAAAATTGGGAAAATATTTTTATAGTGCATGTTTTAATATATATGAAAAAAAAATTAAATTAATTTTCGAATTCTAGGTAATTACAAAAATGCCATTGTATGACATTTCTTCCAAGCAACTGCGTGGCAACAGAAGGAGGCTCCATGTCTCTCTCCAACACTCTGGAAGGTTTGAGGAGGTGCTGAAGACTTCTTCCATAGCTTGGAATGTATATAATTTGTTTGTGGAGAGAGAAACAAATGAAAGAAGATAGACAAAGAAACCTTCGTTCGAATTTTTGGGATTGCTTTGGAGGCTTATTTGAACATTTAAAGGTATGCCTCTAGCCTAATTTGGATGCTAAAAATTCATTAGTGTTGTTAATTTTTGATTTGGGTAAGTGGTTTATACTCGAATTTGAGTTTTAAAGTTTCAAATTTTAAGATTTCATGAAATGAGTCTTGTAGAAAACGATTTTTTTTTCTTCAATTGAGTATTGGATTGTATGTTGTCATAGAGTTGCTTGGGAATGATTTCATGGGTTGCCATGGTGTGTGGTGATGGGATGAAAAAACCCTCGTGGGTTTGAATTTTTAAAAATTTGTTTTTTGATAAATTTGATTAAACTTTATAAAGGGGCTTGGTTCTAGTTGATTTGGGGTCAAGGAATTCATTTTCAGCCTTGGAATTGGATTTAGAGGTTACTTTGGGTTGAAACGGTCAGTTACAGGTCTGCCCTTGTGTTTGAAAAATAATTTTTTGCCAATTTTAACCAATAATTTGATGATGTTACAATTCAATTCAAAGATTGAGTTTAAGAGGGATTCAAATTCAAAGAATATGTGGATGTTAAAATCAAAGGAGATGGTAGTATTGTAGTGGAAGAACTAGGGGGTCAAAGTGGTAAGGTTGAGCATAAATTTCTGCACTTTGGAAAAAAATCAAATAATCAAAGGTTGAAGATGAAGTGGGGTGAAGGATATCAGTGGACTCTGATAAAAATTTTATTCATGTCCAATCTCTGATCAATCTATGGTTTGTTCCAAAAATTCCGTAACGTCTGTGAAGAGGTCCCAGTAAAATTTCAAGTCGATCCAATGGCTAGATCAAAATGAGAATTAAAATAACTGTTTTGGTTTTTGGGGTCAATTCGATCCAGTTTTTAGGTATTTTTTAAAAATAAATTTTATATTCATTATTAGGTAGATAAGTTGAGTGTTTGTATGAAATTTCATTAAAAAATAATATCATTTTATTTTTGATTATTTTGGATCAAAAAACAGCGCAGGGGTAGATTTTCTCAATTTTGGACCAATCGAAAATTTTCAAATTCATTTTGAAATCATGTCTTACATTATTTATGAATGTTTAAAATATTTTAAAACTTATTATTAGGTTTTTGAATTAGAGATAGAAATCACATATCCGAATTACAATTTTCAGTGCGATAACAAATAGTAGTCTGAAACAATGGTTTTGATTGTATAAAATGAGATTGCGAAATCCTTTTAAATTAATTGTAAGTGCACATAGATTGAGTGACAAAAAAATTTTACATTCTAGTTTAAGGTTATAAAGGGTACTCACCGAGTTCGTAAACGCTTGAGTGACTAGTTGGTCTTCGGACTTAAATATTTAAGTAAAATTTTGGTGAATGCGAGATGGTAGGAAGCATATTCATATGCATTTAGTTGCATAAATTAAGTTATTTTTAGTCAATACTTATTTGCATTTGTATATATGCAAATTGTTAGGGTTGGAGGCTACTACATCGGTTCCACCTATGAATCGAGCATAAAGCTAAGTGGTGTGTTGGTTGGCGGTGACAGGTGAAGCATATTGCTTCATAATACTTAAAAATAAAATTATATGATATATCAAGTTTATTCTCTTATATGAGAGAAATCAATTTTGCTGAATTGATTTGAGTTGAGTTGTTTAAGCTATGAATCAAATATGGTATGTTGAGAAGCTTGTGATTTATGGAAAAGCTTGTGGTTTGTTGAAAAACTTGTGATTTGAGTAGTATCCACTATGCTAGAATTGTTGATAGCTTAACACGACTTACATGTTGTGGATTTGGACATTGCGCAGTTGTAGTGAGACAGCTTGATATTGCTTAAATGTTGTAGATAGCCTGATATTGCTTAAATATTGTTAATAGCCTGACATTGCTTAAATATTGTTGTTGATTCATAGCACATGTGAACTATTTATTATGTTGTTATATTGACAGAGAATATGAGATTTCAAAGTTGAAAATTTTTTGATTTTAACATTCTCCTCAGATCGTGAATATATTTTAGTGGAATAATATTTGATTCATATATTTTTTTAAATATTTTCATTTATTATGATCCGCAGTACACTCAAGAAAATTATTGATTTTAGGATATCGCAGGTTAGAGTTGGGTCCACTACAACACTAGTAGAGTCAAGATAAGAGGTTAAGGAAACTGGTTATGTACATATGGTACTGGAGTATTCGTTTCCTTGTTGATATAACGGATGAATTCCCTAATTCTTTGTGTTGTATTGAGTTATAGAGTTGTGTACTCTGTTATAGAGCTGTATGGTTTATCTCTTTTATAAGATTAGTGGTTGGTATTATTGATTTTAAATGATTCCTTGTAGTACAAGCGTAGATATTACCATGTATCAAGTTATACTTTCATATCTGAAATATCAAATAGATCTCTCGGGATGGGGTGTGACAAATATCCTATCGAAATAGATTTGAACCTCATTAGAGCATGTACTAAATCAAGAGAAATTCAAACCTTTACCTAAAATTTTAATGGTGAGATTTTATTCTTTTTTTAAAATCTAATGATCATCTTTACTCTCTTTTAAATTTGAGTTTATTCATATTCATATTTAAATTTGACTTTCTCTTTTTTTAAATTTAAGTTTGTCCATCGTAGTATTTTGTATCAAATCAAGTTTTTTACTCAAACGTAAATTTAAATTTGAATGAAAAATTGAGTCATAATTAGAGATATTCTTAGCCTAATAAAATAGGAGAGAAAGATTACGATATCGAAGTTAGTATTATATTTAAATTTATAATTTTTTGAAGTAAAAGTTACGACTAAAATAAAATAAAATTATAATTTTTTAAAGCCAAGTTACACATTTTGAAGTTAAAGTACAATTAATTAGGTAGTATTCATGATCTATCATAATATTTTATAATAAATAAAAAATTTATCTTAAATCATTATAACTTCACGCTTAAATAATGTGACTTAGACTTTAAAAAATATTATGAGCATTGCAGTGCCAATTCATCTATTTATATGAATATGACATAAAAAATAAAAATTGAAATTGACTCTAATGATTAACACAAATAATAAATAGATTAGATAAAATTAGACATTGAAAACACGATTAATAGATTTTAATCAATAATAAAATATTTTATAAATATTTTATTTTTTATATAAATTATTTTTAAATTAAATAATTTTTAATAATACATATATTGACCCGCATAAAACAAAATTCCCAATCACACAACTCGCAAAAATCAAAATAACACCATGCAACAACCAAACACCCAAAAAAAAAAAAAAAAAAATAGTTGAGCCACCTAGAAGTGTGTAGTATAGAAAAATGTCATCAAAAGATTCGACTTCCATCATTCCCATAATTGTCACTCCGGTCCAGGTTCAATGTACACAGACACTGAATACAATTCCTTGCCTTTATTTCACTGTCATGGTGGACTGCGAGGAACTCTCCAACGTTATCACTGCCATTCCTATTCAAACCTGCTGTCTTTCGTTAACTTCCCCGGCGATCTCCCTCACCACCACAACCGAGAATGGCATCGGACGGATTCCGGACACTGGACGAGAAGTCTTTAGTGGAATACATAAAGGCCACACCTTCTCTCTCTTCAAAGCTGGGCAACAACCTCGAAGACCTGCAAATTAAAGAAGTGGGTGACGGAAATCTCAACTTCGTCTTCATAGTCATCGGTCCCTCTGGTTCTGTTGTCATCAAACAGGTGAAAAGATTCTTATTCTCCACCTTTTAGATTGCCTATTTGAAGTTCATTCAGTAACGGATAAACAGGGGCGGCCCAACAAATCTGGAGGACTTGGCGAGAATATAAAATGAGGCCTATTAATAGATAATAATTATTAAAATATATTCTTTTAAAAGTTATATTTTTAATTTTTTGAGATGCAAAAATATTGATTAAACTTTTATATTCAAGTTTTGTTAATATATCTTTATGGATAATATAGCTAATCCATTTAATATTTCTTGTGACATAGTTGATCAGAGATAATATTTTATTAATTTAAATTTTGAAAAACTTTTTTTTGCTCAAGCAACTGTTAACGGTATAGTTAATAATATTCTAAATTCTATATATGCATTTGGAAAAAAATTTAATTGTTTTATATAATTTAGGGTTTCTTTTGGAGTGTTAATTTCATATTGTAGACTTTTCTCAATACATTCAATCCTTGAAATAAATCTAAATCATCAATATCAAAAAATAAATTATGCTTCAAAAAATTTTAAAGGTTAAGACTATATCTTTTCAAACTATCATCATCTAAGGATTTTAATTTTTTATAACAAAATAAAAAATCAAAAATATTTTCATATATTTTGAATTGTTTAAATCTATTCTTCATCGAAGAAATAGCTAGATCAACTATAAATAAAAAATACTCAATTCTAAAAGATTCTTCGGCCAATAGTGTTAGTGCATTTTCAATTATTGACGAGAGAGATGTTAAGATATAAACGTTAAGAGAGAGATAGAAATGTTAAGAGATAGATGTTACTAGTCATATCTATCTTCCTTAGGGTAGAAGTCTATCAGTCTTCTATAGCGGGCAAGAAGTTTAGCAGTCTACAATATCTGGCAAGTGGAGCAATTTTCTGAGTAAGTAAAATTTGGACCCTCAAATCAATCCATCCAAAATATAGTTATTCAGGACTAAAACTCCTACCTGGTGGGTGGGGGCTCCAAAATTTTGCAAAAATTGGGGGCCCTAGGCGGCCAACTAAGTGGCCGAGGCCTAGGGCCAGCTCTGCGGATAAAGACTACATCTGTGCTCTCTCTATCTCTCTCTCACACACACAAAGAGTAGATTTTATTTTGTGGGTGTTTTACTTTTTGTCAAGATGGGGGTCCTTGCAACCTGGTTGGTTTCTGAATTTCTTTTGTGGGCATTTTGAATTGTTTGTTGTGGGGCTTTTGTGTATTGTTGGAATGTAATGGAAGATGGGAAAGATTGCTTCCCAAAATATGCCTGTGTAGTGTCTATTTGGTCCTCCATTGTGTTTATTTGGTTCCTGAGGTTTCTAATTTATATTTAGGTGGTTCAATCCTAAATGTCCGTCACAAAATTCTTAATGTCTCTGGTCACGCACCAAGCACGTGGACTAAAGTGACACAAATTAGAAACTGTAGGATCAAATAGATACAAAATTAGGAATCACGTGATCAGTGCATGATTGGATGCATTAACGATTTTCTGACGGACAGACAGAAATTAGGAATCTTAGAGATCAAATAAACACAATTAGAAGATTGAGGACCAAATAGACACCAAATATATACTTTGGGAACTAAAAGTGTATTTTATCCATTACATTATTACTTGGACATAAGATATTTTGAGCCCATTCGCTAGTCTTTTGTGGAAAAGAAAGTTCATCAATGTTGGCACTTTTGTTACTGCCATCAAGCAAGTCATTTTGTGATAAGGTCGACATTTAAACTTGGAATGTATCCTAACACTTCCGTTTTGTCTTTGAATGATATACAACTTGGAATTAGTCCAACTTCTGTTGGGTCTTTGGAAAAACAAGTGGAAGGAAAGGAAAATAAAAGGGAATGCATTGAAATGGCTTTTCCTTTGGCAAGTCTTGAACATTTTCCTTTGCTTTCTCTTCTTTCTATGTTTTGACAGTTAGGCCGAAAGGTATAATGAACAGGATGACATGTGATGTAGCTAATAATCTGATGTAACTAGAAAAAGGGGTAGAGCACATAAACCTATGTTTGGTAGTGATATCTATTGGAACTTAAAAAAGTTAAGCACTGAAAGCATCACACACAAATTACTTATCAAATAATAATATCAATCAAATATTAGTCTAGTGTTTTGATTTTGAATCGTCCATAAGAATATAATTCAAAGCTGGTTTTGGGAGCGTGCAGGCTCTTCCGTACATACGCTGTATTGGGGAATCATGGCCAATGACGACGGAGCGTGCTTATTTTGAAGCATCGACACTAAAAGAACATGGGCATTTGTGCCCTGATCATGTTCCTGAAGTTTACCATTTTGACCGAACTATGTGTTTGATTGGCATGCGTTACATTGAGCCTCCTCATATAATCTTGCGAAAAGGGCTGATTGCTGGAATTGAGTACCCATTGCTTGCGGAACACATATCAGAATATATGGCTAGGACTCTTTTCTACACATCTCTTCTTTATCGTTCCACTACAAAGCACAAACGGGCAGGTAAACATTTATCACTACAACTCATCGGCTTTTCCTAAAGTCAGCCATTGGTCAATTTGTGGATGTAGGTCTTTGTTTCTCACAGCAAATTGTTTTATCTGAATGTTTCTTATGTTTTGTTCAGCAGTGCTGTTAATAACTTTTGTTGTCTTTCCGAGTCAGCGTCTAAGATTGATGATGTTGGACTGAATTTATCTTCCATTTTCAATGTTTAACTAGAATGGGTGCAATCATGTTGTATTTTCTCCCTATGAGGAAGAGAAGGGACTGAATTTTTATCCCCTTTCCACTTGTAATTCATTGTACTGATAGAATGAGTGGTGGTTGGTTTATCACTTTTTCTCCTGAGTAACAACTCTAGCTATATCGACACAGCTGAGTACATGTAACTTATGTGTCTACCTCAATGCTTTGTGCAGTTGCTGAATATTGTGGAAACGTGGAGTTGTGCAGGCATACTGCACAAGTTGTATTTTCTGATCCATATAAAGTGTCTCAGTACAACCAATGGACTTCTCCTTACCTTGATAGTGATGCAGAGGCAGTTCGTACGGATAACATATTAAAACTTGAAGTTGCAGAATTGAAGTCCATGTACTGTTGCCATATTAGCTGCCATCTTTGTAAAATTTTGAATGTCTTTGGATAATTTGGTTAACGAGTTCCCATTAGTATTTTGATGACAATGTGGCTGTGGAAATGTTTCCTTATATTGGTAGATGTGTTCTGTGCAGATTTTGTGAGAGAGCCCAAGCTCTTGTACATGGTGATCTCCATACAGGTTCTGTCATGGTTACACATGATTCAACTCAAGTCATCGATCCAGAATTTGGTTTCTATGGGCCGATGGGATTTGATGTTGGAGCCTTTTTAGGAAACTTGATATTGGCTTACTTTGCACAAGATGGACACGCTGATGAGGGGAATGACCGAAAAGTATGTCCTGTTTATACATTTGTCTTTTAATCATTTATTTTCAATCTTTTTCATTTCTGCTGTCCTAGAGCTGCAGCTAATTTTCCTTAATGACCCATCTGTATCATTCTTATCATCAATTTTGGCATTTCAAATACCATTGTTGCTGAAGTAATTATTTTTTTTTTGTTACTGTTTGTACTGTCGGCTAGCTGGAGTGGTCTCTGTTATAAAATAACACCTATTTAGTCCCCATTAATGGTGATTTTTTTTTTTTTGGGGGGGGGAGGGAGAGAGTAGATTGAATACAAACATAGCTTTTGACATTATTTGCATAAAAAGGCTGCCCTCATGTTATAGGTTATTAAAAAGCAAGTGTTTCCCATCTAATTTTGGAAGTATTAAGGGGTGACTACATTTTTGGCCTATAACTCCAGGTTCGTTTGTGTATTTTACCGTTGGCATATGCAATTAATGTTTTAATGTGGCTTAACCTTATAAAACAATTTGTCATGTAGGTGTATAAAGAGTGGATATTGAAGACAATAGTGGAGACTTGGAATCTCTTTCACAAAAAATTTATTGTTCTGTGGGATGAGCACAGGGATGGCTCTGGTGAGGCATATCTTCCTGATATTTATAACAATCCAGAGCTTCAGCTGCTTGTAAAACAGAAATACATGAAAGATCTGTTTCATGACACTCTTGGATTTGGTGCAGCCAAAATGATAAGGTAAAATCGCCGGATTCCTACTTTGTTAACACTTAACAGGACTTATTGTATATTTTGTTTGCTCTTTCTGATTCATCAGTTGTACATCAAAGCAAAGCATGTTTCTTAGCTAGCATGGAACCCAAGTCAATATGTGGGCTGATTTTTCAAGTTATACGATTGTCTTATATGAAACACGGTTACTTCGTTAAGGTCGATTTATCCGTATCTGTATTGTTTCCGATAATAATAAGAAATTTGGATACTTCGCCGATACGGATCCACAATGCATATTCTTCGGATATGAAAGTGTCGGAGCAACATGTGTAAATTTTTTATGTTAATCTTTACCTTGTCTTCTCAAATTCACATATAATAGAACAGGTAAAGAAAAAATTATATGATTTTGAAGACACGTGTTTTTTAATTATATTCCACTATCAGATGTCAAAAGAGTATAAAATGTTTTAATTTCACCACATCTCTTGGCAAAGAATTTTTAAGCGAACATACTAGTTAAATATTGGTTGTGATTGTCTTTAGTTGGTCAAGTTCACTATATAGATATAATACCATAATGAAATGATCAACATTTTATTGCAAGTAAAAATTACCAATTTTTTGTATTATTACCAAAAAATTTATTAGAAATTATAATTATCAAGTTGTTAGATAGCAGTAAAAATAAAAAATGCATTTTATCACCTACGTATCCTATTCGTATGTATCTTGATATCGTATCGCAGCCGTATTTCCGTATCCGTATCCATATCCGTGCTTCTTAGATTGCCTTGAATGGAAGGCAAAACTACATTTTTAGATGTCATGATATACAAGGTATTTTGGTAATTGATATGTGTGTTTACTTGCTGGATGCTAACTGATTATGTAATTGCATGATAGTTGACCAATAGAAGGCCAAGTCTGTCAGATAATAGAGATTCTGTATCTAGATTTCATTAAACAGCTAATGAGTAATGATCTTACCAGGTGTAATTTGTGTTGATAGATTAGTAATCACATTGTTTGAATTGATTGATCAGCACTCCTGTGGCAATGCCACTCTATTTTATTTATTCACAGGAGAATTGTTGGGGTAGCTCATGTTGAGGATTTTGAATCAATCACCGATGCTGCCAAACGAGCAGATTGTGAGCGGCAGGCTCTTAGCTTTGCTAAAATGCTTCTGAAGGAAAGGCGAAAATTCGAGGCCATTACTGATGTTATTTCTTCCATCCAGCACCTCCATTCATGATAAGGTCCTAAGAAAGTTGCATCTTAAGAAATGTTTGTTGTTTGGGATGGTGTTGTACTTTCTCTGTTTGAGAGATAGCTATTTTGTAACTGCCTTATAATAATCGACGTGTTTGAGTGGAGTAACAGAATATTCAATTTTCTGTTATTGGGTTCCCCTCTCTCTCTCTCTCTCTCTCTCTCTCTCTTCGGTTATTTTATTTGCTTATTTGCTCATTCTTGTGATTTCTACTCTAGTTTGAATTGTTTCCCATATCAATGCAAGAGATCAATTTTCACGATTTGTTTTAGTGAGAGGTTTGCTTTGTGTAGTTTTTTGGTAGTTGGAGAGCAATGGTCATTAGGCATCAGATTTCTTCAAATTTTTGTCTTTACTTCCGATGCAATATATTCACAGTATGTAGAGGTCTTGTACCATGTGGTGTCAATCATTTTTTCATTCATTGCCTAATATTGGCTTTATCTGCACACAGGCTTCTTGCTTTCCTTTTTTTCCCCCTTCTTTGGGTTTTATAAGTGCCGAGTCTGCTGATATATACGTTAGGCCACTGTTGAGCTATGCCACTATGTCACCCTAATCCTTTCCACATCTGCTATTGGATAAGGCCTCACACGCCTGCTGCACATTCTGCTTGATTTATAAGGATATGGTGGTCACCAAGATTACACTGCCTTGGGGAATTATTGGTTACAGCTATTTCTTATGGTTTTAGTTATTTCTAGCATTGGAAGTGCCTGCCCAGAATTTATCATTGTATATTACCATTTATGGCTCTTTCTACTCTTGTTCATGGCCTTGTCCATTGAGATGCGTGAATGTGTGTTGAACCGTTTCTAACTAGTGGATTGTGATGCCACATTTTCTTGTTTCTCAGGATTTCAAGTGTCCTATTCCTTTAACTGTTTTTTCAATTGTGGATTCTCATAGACTCCCTTGTGTCCATTGGATTCCTTCCACGGGTCTCCCTCAGATCTTGCTTTTTTTTTTTGTTGTAAACAGTTTAGTTGTGTTTTTCGAATGGCTTTTTTTGCTTAGTGTCCATTATTTGTCAAATGTGATCAGCAGGTTTTTTGAAGGGTTTCTAAGCAAATATAGGCATTGTTTTTCAAATGTAGCCTATTGCTTTGTCCATGCTTTTGTATTCAAGGTTTGCTCCTCCATGTGGCCTGGTGTTTTCCATCCTTAACTCTCAGAAAACTGCAATTCGTCCTCTTCAATGATGCCACCAGTTGTTGAGCAGCTCACACACTGGTACCCTCTTACGGTAAAATAACTGTACTTTTTTTTTTTTTTTTTTTTTTCCTGATTGTTGCATCGCTAAGATAGAACTAGACATCGTGCACATTGTTTTTTCGCTTTTGTTTCGGTTGAAGGGTCTGGATTCGATTTCTTCGGCTTTCTGTTGTTTGGTCCCAATGTTACTCGTCAGGGTTGATGGCCATTGTTGGTGATATTAAAATTTAATTGCCTGGACATTTTCAGCGCTCTGCTGTCATGGTTAAGACATGAGTTTGATTGGATGATTTGACTATTGCTTCAAGAGTTTCAGATAACTTGATGGTTGATGTTGACTTGGACTAGGTATGTTGCTTATTTTGTAATCTGCTAGGATTTCAATCTGATCGTACGGTTGTATTGGAATATTCCAAATCGTTCACCATACGTTTTCTCTTTTTTCCATTGTGTAATATTTTCTGCCATCAAAATGTAAGAAAGTACTCCCAAATTGCTAGGAGTTCACGGTTGAAAAAAAAAACCCCCTCGAGTTTGTGTAAGAAATTTTAGAAATATTTTTATTTTATTCTAAAAATTTATATAATAAAAAAAAACACCGAGGAGTTTGATTTTTTATCACACACATTTTTTCTCTCAAAATCATCCAATCACTCAATTATATCACTGTTTAATCATTTAATATTTGATTAATTTATAATTTAATATAATGATTGTTTCATACATTGTCCATAATGTACACGTGTTAAAAAAATTTGTCGGGTTATACATTTTGAGAAAATTTTGATGTTATTTTAAAAAAAATAATAGATAGAAATTAATTTTAAATGATGTAATCAAATAAATGAAGAAATAAAAAATTATTATTTAGTTTAATAAGTTTCATTTTTTAAACGATCAAATTTTATATTTTATCGTATTTTTAGACACAGGTTATAACTAATTATTTTATATTTCTACACATAAACTTATCAACTTTCCAATGCCTAGGAGTATATATGCTCTATGTGAATAAAAAATTGAGGAAATAGTTAATCATATGGTTATAATTGCTCTTACATAAATAAGGAAATTTATCGTGGCATGATTTGTACACAACTCGAATTCAATAATAAACGAATGTCAAAATGACCAAATATAAAAAAAATACTAAATAGTTTGGGTTATTGCCGATTTTGGTACCACAAACTCATTACTGCTCCGCATCACCAATTTTTTGATGTGTCAGTAATGTCTCCGGTAAAGGTAGTGTTAGCGCCGTTAGTCGAACAAGTTCTAGTCGAGTTCGAATTGAACTTAAAAAATTTATTTTTTAATCAAGTTTTAAAAATTGTTTAAGTTCGGTTCGTTTAAGAAACGAGTCAACTCCGAGTATTTGCACATAAATGAGTTGAGTTTGTCGAATTTAAATGAGTTGAGTTCGGCTCCGGTTCGATTGAACTTATAGGGCTTGTTTTCTAAATAAGTTAAAAAATTTATTCAAGTTCGGACTCGTTTAAAAAACGAACAGAGTCGTTCGGTCGAACGGGAGCCGAACTCAAGTCAAATTCGAGTAATTCAATTTGATTAACGGTCTTAAATAGTGTGTTAAATAGACATGAATTATAGGGAATGACAGCATTATTTTAAAAATTACTAGAAGGAATGACTCTATAATTACTAACAATTAGGCCCATGCAACTCTCTAAAATAACACCATGCAGCAAAAAAAAAAAAAACAGTTGAGCCATCTAGAAGCGTGGAGCATAGAAAAATGTCATCAAAAGATTCGACTTCTATCATTCCCGTGATTGGTGGCCAGACTTTATTGTGTTAATTATGTTGTATGGTGTTGTGTCGTGTGTTGTAGTATATTTAATGTATTGATATTTTTGTATTGTATGGTTGTTATTTTTATTCTATTCGTGTGGAGAGTCATAAAAAAATTTATTTAATGTATTTTAAATATTAAATGTTAATTTAAATTATTTATTATATACATAATTAATAATGGTGTCAATTTAGATTCCGCGGGTGAGAGGTGCACTCCAGCCCAGGTTCAATGTACACAGACACTTTCTTTGATGGGGCGGCGTGCTTCAAAACTAAATTAAAAAGAATCCAATTCCTTGCCTTTATTTCACTGTCATAGTAGACTTCGCGTAACTCCAACATTATCACTGCCATTCCTATTCAAACCTGCGGTCTTTCGTTAACTTCACAGGCGATTTCCCTCACCACCACAGCCTAGAATGGCATCGAACGGATTCCGGCCACTGGACGAGAAGTCTTTAGTGGAATACATAAAGGCCACACCTTCTCTCTCTTCAAAGCTGGGCAACAACCTCGAAGGCCTGCAAATCAAAGAAGTGGGTGACGGAAATCTCAACTTCGTCTTCATAGTCATCGGTCCCTCCGGTTCTGTTGTCATCAAACAGGTGAAAAGATTCTTAATCTCCGCCTTTAGATTGTCTATTTGAAGTTCATTCTGTAACGGATAAAGACTGTATCTGTGCTCTCTCTCTCTCTCTATCTCTCATACACAGTAGATTTTATTTTGTGGGTGTTTTACTTTTTGTCAAGATGGGGTTCTTTGCAACCTGGTTGGTATCTGAATTTCTTTTGTGGGCATTTTGAATTATTTGTCGTGGGGCTTCTGTGTATTGTTGGAATGTAATGGAAGATGGGAAAGATTGCTTCCAAAAATATGCCTGTGTAGTGTCTATTTGGTCCTCAATTGTGTTTATTTAGTTCCTAAGATTCCTAATTTATATTTACGTGGTTCAATCCTAAACCCTAAACGCATGGCAGAAAATTCTTAATCTCTCTGGTCACCCACCAAACACATGGACTAAATAGATACAAATTATAAATTTTAGGGATACACAAAATTAAAAACCACGTGATTAGCGCTTGATTAGAGGCATTAACGATTTCTGACTGACACACAAATTAGGAATATTAGGGATCAAATAGACATAATTAGAAGATTGAGGACCAAATAGACACCAAACACATACTTTGGGAACTAAATGTGTATTTTACCCATTACATTATTACTAGGACATAAGATATTCGGAGTCCATTCGCTAGTCTTTTGTGGAAAAAGAAAGTTCATCAATGTTGGCTCTTTTGTTACTGCCATCAAGCAAATCATTTTGTGATAAGGTCGACATTAAAACTTGGAATGTATCCTAACACTTCTGTTTTGTCTTTGAATGATATACAACTTGGAATTAGTCCAACTTCTGTTGGGTCTTTGGAAAAACAAGTGGAAGGAAAGGAAAATAAAAGGGAATGCATTGAAATGGCTTTTCCTTTGGCAAGTTTTGAACATTTTCCTTTGCTTTCTCTTCTTTCTATGTTTTGACAGTGTGGCCAAAAGGTATAATGAACCGGATGACATGTGATGTAGCTAATAATCCGATGTAACTAGAAAAAGGGGTAGAGCACATAAACCTATGTTTGGTAGTGATATCTATTGGAACTTAAAAAAGTTAAGCACTGAAAGCATCCCACACAAATTATTTATCAAATAATAATATCAATCAAATATTAGTCTAGTGTTTTGATTTTGAATCGCCCATAAGAATATAATTCAAAGCTGGTTTTGGGAGCGTGCAGGCTCTTCCTTACATACGCTGTATTGGGGAATCATGGCCAATGACGAAGGAGCGTGCTTATTTTGAAGCATCAACACTAAAAGAACATGGGCATTTGTGCCCTGATCATGTTCCTGAAGTCTACCATTTTGACCGAACTATGTGTTTGATTGGCATGCGTTACATTGAGCCTCCTCATATAATCTTGCGAAAAGGGCTGATTGCTGGAATTGAGTACCCATTCCTTGCGGAGCACATATCAGAATATATGGCTAGGACTCTTTTCTACACATCCCTTCTTTATCGTTCCACTACAGAGCACAAACGGGCAGGTAAACATTTATCACCACAACTCATCGGCTTTTCCTAAAATCAGCCATTGGTCAATTTGTGGATGTAGGTCTTTGTTTCTCACAGCAAATTGTTTTATCTGAATGTTTCTTATGTTTTGTTCAGCAGTGCTGTTAATAACTTTTGTTGTCTTTCCGAGTTAGAGTCTAAGATTGATGATGTTGGACTGAATTTATCTTCCACTTTCAATGTTTAACTAGAATGGGTGCAATCATGTTGTATTTTCTCCCTATTGAGGAAGGGAAGGGACTGAGCTTATATTCCCCTTTCCACTTGTAATTCATTGTACTGGTAGAATGAGTGATGGTTTATCACGTTTTCTCCTGAGTAACAACTCTAGCTATATTGACACAGCTGAGTACATGTAACTTATGTGTCTACCTCAATGCTTTGTGCAGTTGCTGAATATTGTGGAAACGTGGAGTTGTGCAGGCTTACTGAGCAGGTTGTATTTTCTGATCCATATAAAGTGTCTCAATACAACCACTGGACTTCTCCTTACCTCGACAGTGATGCAGAGGCAGTTCGTACGGATAACATATTAAAGCTTGAAGTTGCAGGATTGAAGTCCATGTACTGTTGCCATATTAGTTGCTATCCTTGTAAAATTTTCAATATCTTTGGATAATTTGGTTAACGAATTCCCATTAGTGTGTGATGACAATGTGGCTGTGGAAATGTTTCCTTATATTAGTTGATGTGTTCTGTGCAGGTTTTGTGAGAGAGCCCAAGCTCTTGTACATGGTGATCTCCATACCGGTTCTGTCATGGTTACACATGATTCAACTCAGGTCATAGATCCAGAATTTGGTTTCTATGGGCCGATGGGATTTGATGTTGGAGCCTTTTTAGGAAACTTGATATTGGCTTACTTTGCACAAGATGGACATGCTGATCAGGGGAATGACCGAAAAGTATGTCCTGTTTATACATTTGTCTTTAATCATTTATTTTCAATCTTTTTCATTTCCGCTGTCCTAGAGCTGCAGCTTATTTTCTTTAATGACCCATCCGTATCATTCTTATCATCAATTTTGGCATTTCAAGTACCATTGTTGCTGAAGTAATTATTTTTTTTGTTACTGTTTATACTGTCGGTTAGCTGCAGTGGTCTCTGTTATAAAATAACACCTATTTAGTCCCCATTAATGGTGATTTTTTTTTGGGGGGGGGGGGGGAGTAGATTGAATACAAACATAACTTTTGACATTATTTACATAAAAAGGCTGCCCTCATGTTATAGGTTATTAAAAAGCAAGTGTTTCCCCTCTAATTTTAGAAGTACTAAGCGGTGACTACATTTTTTGCCTATAACTCCAGGTTCGTTTTTGTATTTTACCGTTGGCATATGCAATTAATGTTTTAATGCGGCTTAACCTTATAAAACAATTTGTCATGTAGGTGTATAAAGAGTGGATATTGAAGACAATAGTGGAGACTTGGAATCTCTTTCACAAAAAATTTATTGTTCTGTGGGATGAGCACAGGGATGGCTCTGGTGAGGCATATCTTCCTGATATTTATAACAATCCAGAGCTTCAGCTGCTTGTAAAACAGAAATACATGAAAGATCTGTTCCATGACACTCTTGGATTTGGTGCAGCCAAAATGATAAGGTAAAAATCGCCGGATTCCTACTTTGTTAACACTTAACAGGACTTATTGTATATTTTGTTTGCTCTTTCTGATTCATCAGTTGTACATCAAAGCAAAGCATGTTTCTTAGCTAGCATGGAACCCAAGTCAATATGTTGAACTATAGGTTTCTCCAATCATAAAATTTGCATCTTAATAAGCTAAAACAAAAATTTTCCATTTGTTTAGTGCTGCAATTCTATTGCATATGGGCTGTTTTTTCAAGTTATATGATTGCCTTATATGAAACATGGGTACTTCGTTAAGTTTGATTTATCCATATCCGTATTGTATCCAATAATAATAAGAAATTTGGATACTTCGCCGATACGGATCCACAAAGCATATTCTTCGGATATGAAAGTGTCGGAGCAACATGTGTAAATTTTTTATGTTAATCTTTACCTTGTCTTCTCAAATTCACATAGAATAGAACATGTAAAGAAAAAATTATATGATTTTGAAGACACATGAGTGTTTTTTAATTATTTTCCACTATCTGATGTCAAAAGAGTATAAAATGTTTTAATTTCACCACATCTCTTGGGAAAGTATTTTTAAACAAAAAAACTAGTTAAATATTGGTTGTGATTTTCTATAGTTAGTTAAGTTCACTATATAGATATACCATAATGAAATGATCAACATTTTATTGCAAGTAAAAATTACCAATTTTTTGTATTATTACTAAAAAATTTATTAGAAATTATAATTATCAAGTTGCTAGATAGCAGTAAAAATAAAAAATGCATTTTATCACCGACGTATCCTATTCGTATTTATCTTGATATCGTATCGCAGCCGTATTCCCATATCCTTATCCATATCCGTATCCGTATCCGTGTCCATGCTTCTTAAATTGCCTTGAATGGAAGGCAATAATAAACTGCATCCTTTCAAATGAATGAATTAACTACACTTTTAGATGTCATGATATACAAGGTATTTTTGTAATTGATATGCGTGTTTTCTTGCTGGATGCTAACTGATCATGTAATTGTTTAATAATTGACCAATAGAAGGCCAAGTCTGTCAGATAATAGAGGTTCTGTAGCTAGATTTTATTAAACAGCTAATGAGTAATGATCTTTTCGGGTGTTATTTGTGTTGATAGATTAGTAATCACATTGTTTGAATTGATTGATCAACACTCCTGTGGCAATGCCACTCTATTTTATTTATTCACAGGAGAATTGTTGGGGTAGCTCATGTTGAGGATTTTGAAGCAATCACCGATGCAGCCAAACGAGCAGATTGTGAGCGGCAGGCTCTTAGCTTTGCTAAAATGCTTCTGAAGGAAAGGAGAAAATTTGAGGCCATTACTGATGTTATTTCTTCCATCCAGCACCTCCATTCATGATAAGGTCCTAAGAAAGTTGCATCTTAAGAAATGTTTGTTGTTTGGGATGGTGTTGTACTTTCTCTGTTTGAGAGATAGCTATTTTGTAACTGCCTTATAATAATCGACGTGTTTGAGTGGAGTAACAGAATATTCAATTTTCTGTTATTGGGTCTCTCTCTCTCTCTCTCTCTCTCTCTCTCTCTCTTCGGTTATTTTATTTGCTTATTTGCTCATTCTTGTGATTTCTACTCTAGTTTGAATTGTTTCCCATATCAATGCAAGAGATCAATTTTCACGATTTGTTTTAGTGAGAGGTTTGCTTTGTGTAGTTTTTTGGTAGGTGGAGAGCAATGGTCATTAGGCATCAGATTTCTTCATATTTTTGCCTTTACTTCTGATGCAATATATTCACAGTATGTAGAGGTCCTGTACTATGTGGAGTCAATCATTTTTTCATTCATTGCATAATATTGGCATGATCTGCACACAGACATCTTGCTTTCCTTTTTTTCCCCCTTCTTTGGGTTTTATAAGTGCCGAGTCTGCTGACATATACGTTAGGCCACTGTTGAGCTACGCCACTATGTCACCCTAATCCTTTCCACATCTGCTATTGAATAAGGCCTCACACGCCTGCTGCACATTTTGCTTGATTCATATGGGTATGGTGGTCACCAGATTACACTGCCTTGGGGAATTATTGGCTACAGCTACTTCTTATGGTTTTAGTTATTCCTAGCATTGGAAGTGCCTTCCCAGAATTTATCATTGTATATTACCATTTATGGTTCTTTCTGTTTACATCAGCAGGTTTTTCGAAGGGTTTCTAAGCAAATGTAGGCATTGTTTTCACATTTTCCATTTTAGTTTGCTTGTAAATTCAAATGTGGCCTATTGCTTTGTCCATGCTTTTGTATTCAAGGTTTGCTCCTCCATGTGGTCTGGTGCGTTCCATCCTTAACTCTCAGAAAACTGCAATTCGTCCTCTACTATGATTCCACCAGTTGTTGCACAGCTCACATACTGAATTCTTCGGCTTTCTGTTGTTTGGTCCCGATGTCACTTGTCAGGGTTGATGGCCATTGTTATTGATATTAAAATTTAATTGCTTGGACATTTTTAGGGCCGCTGTCATGGTTAAGACATGAGTTATATTGGATGATTTGACTATTGCTCAAAGAGTTTCAGATAACTTGATGGTTGATATTGACTTTGACTAGGTATGTTGCTTATTGTTATCTTGAAATCTGCTAGGATTTAAATCTCATCGTGCGGTTGTATTGGAATTTTCCAAATCGTTCACCCTACGTTTTCTCTTTTTTCCAATGTATGGTTACAACTGCTCTCAGATAAGTACGGAAAATAATCGGGGCATGATTTGTAACCCAACTTGAATTCAATAATACATGAATGTCAAAATGACCAAATATAGAAAAAATACTAAATAGTTTGGATTATTGTCGATTTTAGCACGACAAACTCATTTAATTAACTGGTATTGCACGAAGAACTTGTTCTTTTTTTTTTTTTTTTTTTTGGTATTTTGATCTAACTTGAGTATCGTGAGTTATTATTGTATAACTAAATTTTTTGATTTGATTCTACTAGGTTGTGCATCAAATAAATTTTATACTTAATTAGAACCTATCCATTGTAGAATTGGACAAGAGAAAAGTGGGTCCTATTCTTAGGGGCGGTTTAGTATGCGGGTTTGGGAGGGGTTTGGATTGTGGGTTGGGAAATAAACTTCTTAAACCCATATTTAATAACTCATGTTTACCTTAAAGTTTGGAAATTCAGTCCGCGGATGGTGGTCATGAAACTCACATACTTGGGTTTCATGAAACACAAAAAGGGTGGATTTCGTATGTGGGTTAAAGGATTTAATATTTAAATGACATTTATATTTCCCATGTATACAAATTGGTTAAGGGATAAAATAGTTATTTATATACAAATATATTATTATAATAATTATATATTCTTGTGCGTACCAAACATGGGTATGGATAACATTGAATGTTGAATCTCATCTTTGGGTCAAACTCGGGTTTGGACAAGTCAATCCAAATTCCTCCCAAAAAAAACAAACAAGGCCTTAGTATTTCGGGTTTGAAAGTTATATGTGTTGGTCTGAATGTGAATAATGACAAACTAAATATTACACGAATCTAAAATGACACGATATTAACAAGAAGGATTGTGCCGGTGAAACATGTCTCGAGTGTATGGATTAAAATTGTCTTGTTCGTCTATTATCTAAGTCTTGATCGATGACAAGAATACGTCTATCCTGTGGTAAAAAATGATCAAGAGTATGGAAAATCAAACCAAGCATCTGCAATAGAATACTTTACGCATTCAAATGAGAGCAAGAAGTTTCCTAGGACGTGTATGTACGAAATCATTATTGTTACGTGTAATTATTATTTATTAATTAAAAACTAACAAATAGACGACCAAATCATAGTTTTTGACCTGTGGTAGTTATTGTAGTACGTAGAGGTTCATTTGTCTATGGTGATAATGCATGGTGAGATTAGTTTTGTTTGGTACAAGAATAAGGGTTATGTGGGTTCAAAACTTATATATAGTTAAAGGGTAAAATTGTTATTTCAGAAAGAATACAGGTTGGCATAACCAATTTTTTGATGTGTTAGTAACGTCTCTGATGGTAAAGGTAGTGTGTTAAATAGACATAAATTATAGGGGATGACAGTGATATTTCAAAAATTATAAAGAATGTCCTTGTAATTAGGCCCATTTGAAGAGGGTGTCAGTTAAATTACCCAAAAAATTATTTTTTTCTTACCATACTAACAAAATGGGTAATTTGTGTCTAACATGCATTTGTTTTTCTTGTTAATGACTAGGTTTATTTTCAGATTCGTATTGTGTTTATGTTAATTGGTACGACATCGGTTCGAATTGTATTCATGTTAATAAGTAAATTAACAGCTCTGCCAAAACACCTTTTTTTTATAAGAAATCTCAGAAATATTTATATTTTATTATCAGAATTTTTTTAGTTTAACATAACAGTGAAATCAAAGCACAACACTCACAGAGTTGATCAATAGATTTTCCCAAGAGCTCAACAAAATGGTTGGCACTATATCCAGTTCTCATCTTCTTGTTGAGTTGTGCAACAACTCCATTCCTTAAATTGTTACGACAATCCAGAAAACGGGCTTTGTTATATCATATCTTTGATCCCTTCGATCACCTTGCCTTGGGTTCACCCAATGGTCAGGCACGTACCCGGCCTTTAACCTCACAAAGTTGGCAATTCCTTCAATCAACCCTGTTGGAGCTTCGCCATTATCATTCCATTGCCAAATATGTGTCATCTCGTGATATAGTACTCTGGTGATCTCGGTTTTAAAGGTACCATCCGAATAAAACGAGTAACCTTGTATGTAACTCACGCTAACGTGTATCTCATTGTTGATAGCATATGCAATTCCATCCATGTCGTCAATGAACAAGGTCACATGTTGCACATTCTTTCTATATGCACCAGTGTTTTGTTGGAAGAGCCTCCATATTAGCCTTGTGGCGGACTTGAGTGTATTCCGGCTGTATGCAACTCTGATTTCATTTGTGAATCGGATACCACCGGTCGTTGTTGCCGCCCAGTTGGTAAACAAGGAAGGGACGAAGAAGATGATCTTACACATATTGCTCTTAGCTGCTATTCTTTTTTCTTGTCTGTGGACTTGCACAAGTAGAGCTTAATGGAAGTGTCATCTATCTATAGATGAATGGGTTAAAGCATATCAGCCGCAAAGTTAGACAGACCTGGTTGTATCATTGCACTCAAAAATCTGAGGGAAGAGCTAAATGGTTGCTGCGACTTGGTTCTCTCCAATATTTTTTTTCTCTCGATATTTTGTACGGTAGATCATACACGTGCATTAGAATAAGATCAAAGTACATATGGTGATTTTCATTTGAATTTATAATGAAACATCAAATATTATGAGAAATAGAAAAAAAGTATGTTAAAGAGAATCTAAATTAAGCTACCGAATTAAATCTCTTTTGATGCTTTTTTTTTTCCTTATTTACCTCTATAGTAGATCATACTCATGGACTTGAGCGAGATCTAATTATATATAGTGGGTTTCATTTAAGTTTGTTATAAATGATCTATCTATATTGTGATAAATCGAAAACAAAATGTATATTGAAGAGGATTTAGATAAAATTGATACTGATCTTGTACAAATTCCATACAATCTAGCTAGCTTGACTAGGGGTGGTCCAACATTTTCCAGTAGTGGAAGAAACTCAAGGTTCTTTAAGGGTTGATTGTGCCAATCACACCTGTTTGTGTGATGGATTAACAACGACTTGTTCATTTATCAGAAGAAATATTATTTCTTCTTATACTTTTCCAGATCTCGTTGATGTATTGGTTGACAAGAATTCCTCTATCCCATGGTAGAAAATGATCTAAGGGTGTGAAAAATCGATTATTTACATTTTCAAATGAGGGGAGAAGATTTGTTGAAAGTGTTATTAATGATGTGATATCATATTAAAATTTTATTGGGTGGGTGGAGGATTGCATAGACCTTCACTTTTTTTTTTTTTTATGAAACGAGGAACTTTGTAAAGAAAGTCATATTGTACTTACTCGTATAGACTAAATTGAGGATGCTTGTAATCAACTATTAACCACATGTATCATTTAGACCCAAAGTCATCGACGATAATCGAATTCAGTGTGTCAGAATTTACATCTCACTCCAAGTCTAACCACATATCACTTGGCTATCCAAGTTGATTCATAGATTTTGACTTAGGTGATGTTTGATAAAATTAAAAATTAAGTAGTAAAAACTTGACGTTGAATTTTAAAAATTGAATGTTGAATTTTTTAATCTGAAAATTTTGCTATGCATTTGATTCAAACTGTTTGCCTGTTACAAACAGTTTAAGTTTTAAAATAAATAATTTTTCAGTTTTACCCTTTCAAATATGCATTTATCTAAGAGTTAATTGCACTGGAGGTCCCCCAAATATAGAATTTGTCTAATTTTGGTTTTCAATATTTTAATTGCATCATTTTTCTCTCTTAAGTATTAAACATGTTTTTCTGTAATCCCTCAAGCAGACAACATTCAAATTATTAATAATTTTTTATCATAAACTTGTCACGTGATATTTAAATATAGAGCAAAAATTTGGGTAGCTTTTGATAAAAAATGTTTACTATATGTAACTATTGACTAAAATTTGAATAGTGTATGATCAAAACTGTCTAATTTGGGCAACTCTTTGACTAAAATTTGGCTAGAAATTTGGTCAAGTGTTATTCAAATTATTATTTTTTCATGTTTAAGTATACATGACAAGTTTATAATAAAAAATCGTTAGCAATTTAAACGTTGTTTGCTTAAGAGACCACGTATAGAAATATGTTCAATACTTTATGGATTAAAATGATGCAATTGAAATATTAGAGACCAAAATAAAACAAATCTCATAGTTTAAAGACCTCCAGTGTAATTAACCCTTTATCACCAACAAAAACTCATAAAATAAAATGGTAAACACTATTATAACCTGCAGGCCGGCCATTCAAACGATTTGGTTGAAGAACTGGCTTTCTCACCTGAATAAGTACATGCTCTTAGTTTTGAAAAAGCTTTAACAAATGGGATTTACTACTTCTCAAATCTAGAGAGCAGTTCTTGTTTTTTCGGTCATCTAGAGAACAGTACAAACGACCCAATTTTAGTATACTTCAACTTTTGTCCGCAATTGTGTAAAAGAAAACTATTTCTTGGATTTAATATAGAGCTAAACATGGCTGGAAATCATCTGGATGTTGCCCTTCTGTTTGTCTTTGGTATATGAAACCTAATCACTAAGACCCTGGTTAGGAATGTTAATCGAGACGAATTACTTGGACTTGACTCACATAAAACTCGATTCGAGCTCGACTCGTGTTCTAAATGAGTTGTGTTTTAACAATTTTTTAGGTTCATCTAAAAAAATAAGCCTAAAAGGCTTGACTTAAATTCGCAAAACTATATAAAATAGTCGAACTATTCGGACTCGGCTCGGGTTCGACTCGGGCTTGAGTTCTAAACGAATCGAGTTTAAACTATTTTTTAAGCTTGTTTAAAAAAATAAGTTTGGTTCGGATTCAAACTCGTAAAACTCAGCTCAGTTGACACCCTTACCTGGAGGTGAGTGATTTTTTTTTTTGGGAATCCGGGGGGTGGAAATATGGCCACCCTCAATTTTTTGCTTCTTAAAATTGTTTATGTAAATTTGCAATAATTTCCCCTATACTTAATTATGCCCACCCTCTTATGTTCTTATGATTAACAACGATGGTAATGTGAGAGGTATGATTGACTAAAATTAACTTTTAATTATATGATAAAAAAAGATGTGTGATAGCTGATGGGTTAACGAAAAAACAATATATTTTCAGTGATGTTGACAATTATCATGCATCACTTTTAAAATAATAAAACTCGCAGGGATCAATTGTAAATACTAGCAATTAGTATTTTTTTTTTATAAAGCGATTGTAATTAATATGTTTTTTTTTGTTTGTATATATTTTGATATTGGTTTTTGGTCCTTTTGTTAGTTTAATGAATTTTAAGCATTAAATTTGATATAAACCAATAAATAAATTATTATAGTTATATTTATATGCTAGGAGAAAAAAATTGAAACTTGTGGAAGTTTACACCCAAGAGTAAGCATAGTGTGGGAAATAGACATATAAACTACAAGGGTGACACTAACATTTTAGAAATAAAAGGGAGAGTCCTTGTAATTAGGCCATTTTTTAGGGCGGTGTCAATTAATTTTAGCCAAATATTTCATTTCATACTATACTATCTAAATGGATAGTTTATGGCTAATACTAATTAGATGCATTTATTTTTCCTGTTAATGAACCAATTTATTTTTAAATTCATATTGTGTTCATGTTTATTGATAAATTAGAGGTAACTCGTGTCTAAAAAAATGATGTAATATGAATGATTTTGAGAGAGATATTCGTGATCGTTGTATTAATCTATTTAAACTTATCGAATGAACTTATTGAAACTTACGTGTTTTATATTATAGATTAACACCTTTGCACCCACAAAAAAGAAAAGAAGCAAGTTGAACACTGCACTATTGAAATGGTCGTCATAATCACGAGAGTTGAGTTAGATTGGTTATTGTCTGACTATTGCCCACCAATAGTTTCAAACCACTAGTGTGTTGACATTGACTTGGACCAGGTAGCTAGTTGCTAACTACAATCGCATTATCTTTTAAATTAATCTATTTAAATTTGAATCTCAACGTACGACTATGTCGAGATATTCTAAATTCCTAACCCTATGCTTTTGCTTCCCAATAATAATGTTACTTTCAAAATCTAGAAAAATACTTCCAAAAGGCTACTAAAGTTGATAACTTGGACATCCACTTGCTTATGAGAAAACAACCATCATGAAAAAAAAAAAAAATTGTGAGAAATCTCAAAAATATTTATATTTTATTATGAGAATTTATTTAACTTAATATAACAGTGAAATTACAAGTATAACACTGGTATATTTTTTTTTCTCATTTGGACATGAGCATATATATTCCTAGTTTTTATACTTAGCTTTGTAGTCACTCCAGAGCTGATCAACACTCTTTCCCAGCAGGTCAATAAAGTAGTTGGTATTATATCCAGTTCTCATCTTCTTGTTGAGTTGTGCCACAAACCCATTTCTTAAACTGTTACAATAATCCAGAAAATGGGCTGTTACATCGTATCCTTGATCCCATCGGTCACCTTGCCCTGGTTTCACCCAATGGCTAGGCGCGTACCCGGCCTTCAACCTCACAAAGTCAGCAATTCCTTCAATCAACCCTCCCGGAGCCTGGCCATTACCATTCCACTGCCAAATATGTGTCATCTCGTGATATAGTACTCCGGTGATCTCGATTTTAACATTGCCCGAGTAACCTTGTATGTAATTTGCGCTAACGTGTATCTCATTGTTGGTAGCATATGCAACTCCATCCATATTGTCAACGAACAAGCTCACTTGTTGCACATTCTTTTTATCTGCACCGGTGCTCTGTTGGAATAGCCTCCATATGAACTGTGTGGCGGAATTGAGTGTGTTCTTACTATACGCAACTCCGATTTCGTTTGTGAATCGGATACCCCCGGGAGTTGTTGCCGCCCGGTTGGTGACACTGTATGTGACTGCATAGCTTCCTTGCAAGGAAGCCAGCATTAACAGGGAAGAGAGGAAGAAGATGAACTTAGCCATATTGCTCTTATCTGCTATTCTTTTTTCTTGTCTGTGGACTTTGCACAAGTAGAGCTTAATGGAAGTGCCATCTATTTATAGATGAATGGTTTAACGCGTATGAGCAACAAAGGTTGACTGGTCGTACCATTGCACTTGGAATTTGATATAGTCAAAAGAATTGAAAATCTAGGGAATAGTTAAATGGTTTCTACCACTAGATTCCCTCCGATATATTATTTTTTTTGGATATTTCGGTTGGTAAATCATACATTTGTATTAGAATAAGATTTAAGTACATATAGTCAATTTTATTTGAATTTATAATGAAAGATAAAAATTATGAGAAATCGAAAAAAGTACATCGAAGATAATCTTGATAATGCTACCGAATTGGCTCTCTTCTCCTCTAATAACTTTTTTTCCCCCTAGTGTCCCTCTATAGTAGATCATATCTGTGTACTAGAGCCAGATCCAATTGTATGTAATTAGTTTCATTATAGGTGATTTATGCTGTGACAAATCGAACAAAAAATATATACTGAAGAGGATTTAGATAAAATTGATACTAGTCTTGTACAAATTTATTCAAACTTTATTGGGTGGATAGAAGATTGCATAGACACTCATGCAGAGTAAATTGAGAATACTTATAATTAACCATTAATCACATGTATCATTTAGACTCAAAGTCACCGATGATAATCGAATTTAAGAAGTCAAAATTTACAGTGGACTTCAAATGCAATCCCATGCCAGTGTGCTATCCATGCTGATTCATAGACATTGACTTAGACAAGGGCGGAGCAAGATATCCATCTTAGTGGGGGCAAAAATATGAGCAAAAAACTTAACCAAATGGTATTAAAAAAAAAAAATCTTTTTGAACCTTCGTTAAAAACGATTGAATTGAGGATTATTTTCAAATGAAGAATTCTTAAGCTAAAATATAAGAAAATATTAAGATCTAAAATTTAACTATTACGTGAAAATTCAGAAATCAATATCAATCCAGATGATATTGTCTTTGGTAAATATGTATGCGTAAGGGTATTTTACATTTATTTTACTCAATTAAAATATATGTTTTCGTAGATTAATTAAGGGAGCGAGTGGACCACTGACCTTTCAAAAATAAAAACAATCAGGGCACTATATAAATTTTTAAGAATTTATGGGGGCAATATATATACTTTTGAATTTATAAGGGACAACATTTTTTAAAATTTTAATAACAATATATGGACTTTTGCTCAAAATTCAGACATGCAGCTCCGCCCCTGGACTTAGACTCAGGGGGTTTGTTGACTTAGCACATCAAGATGGTGCGGAAAGCCTGCAGGACAGCTGTTCAAACTATTGATAATGATTTGGTTGAACAACCAATTGGCTTTCTCACCTGAAATAAGTACAAGCACTTAGTTTTGAAAAAGGTTTTAACAAATGGGATTTTACTACTCAAATCTAGAGAACAGTTCGAAGTTCAAACGATCCAATTTTAGTCTACTTCAGCTTTGTTTGCATTTGGCCTGGTCCAAAAAAAAAAAAAAAAAAACTGTCTGTATTTGACTACGGTACCCCCCAAAAAAAAACAAAAATTTCGGTATCATATTTTCATTTACTATATTTATGGGTTATTTTACCACCGTTGTGGTACACCAAAAAAATAAAAAATAGTTATCATAATAATGATAAAAATACTCACAAATATAATTAAAATACCCATAAATGTGATAAATTTTTTTATATTAAAAAAAAATAATAAAAATAGTTACCACAAATATGATAAAAATACTTACAATAGTGATTCAAATCCCACAAAAGTGATAAATCACCCACAACAGTGATAAATTTTTTGGTTGTAAAATAATTCACAAAAATAATTAAAACAACTATTAAAGTGGTAAAAGTTGAAGGTACGGTATTAAAATTATTTTTTCGGTACCGTAGTTAATTCATGTTTGAGGGTTCGTTACAAAATATCTCCATTCACTTTGAGTAGTTTGTAACTTATTCCTTCATGCTTTAATTTCTACAAATAGCTATCTTTAAGTTTGAATATTTTGCAACTAACTTCAATAGTTATTTTTAGACAATAAATATTGACAAAAGTTAGACATATCAAATTCATCTGATTCATACTTTATTGAAAATAGATAATTATTCTTATACTTATTTTTCTTCTATACCAAATATCCATTCTTCCCCTTTTATCCTTACACACCCTTTCGTTATCTCTTACCTTAGATGGTTAACTCTCATTCTCTTTTCTCATTCCAGTAGAAACCCTCTCTTCTTTATGATGAGGCAAAGACGAAGATTTTTTTATTTTTTTAGTCTTAGCTTTTCCATTTTCTTATTTTTTTATTGACAAAATTGGTATCTTAAGAAAAAAAAGTATGGAAAATAATGCACAAGACAAAAGGTGTAATGGTTCTTTCAAGTGCGCAGCCGTTGATGTTAATCAATTTAATCCTTTTGAAATTTGGAGGGAGTAAATTGTAATATTTGAAACCATAGGGAGCTGATTATAACAAGAGAGATAGTTGGAGGGGATAGATTATAATAAACCCTTCGTTTATATAGTGCTAAAAATGGCTGGAAATCATTTGGATGTTGCCATTGTCTTATCTGTTTGTCATCTCTATCGTCAAACCTTAATGGATGCTGCCTTTCTTTTTGTCTTTTGTATGAGAAACTAATCACTAAGAAGTGGGGATACATGCCCACCCTCAATTTTTTTTTTTCTTAAAATTGGTTATGTAAATTTTTTATATTTTTTCCTGTACTTAATTATGCCCACCTTTGTACATTCTTACGATTAGTAACGATGGTAATACAAGAGGTATAGATTGACTAAAATTAACTTTTAATTACATGATAAAAAAAGATGTGATAGTTGATCATGCATCACTTTTAAAATAATAAAACTCGTAGGGATCAATTGTAAATACTAGCAATTAGTATCATTTTTATAATAAACAGTTGTAATTAATATGTTTTTTTTTGTATATGTTGTGATATTGGTTTTTGGTCCTGTTGTTATTTTAATAAAATTTTAAGCATCAAATTTGACATAAAATCAATAAATAAGTTATTATAGCTATATTTAACTGCTAGGAGAGCTAGAGTAAGCGTAGTGTGTGTAATAGATATATAAACTACAGGGGGTGATAGTTATATTTTACAAATCAAAGGGGGTATCCTTGTAATTAGACCATTTTTAAGAAGTGTCAATGGAATTTATCCAATTTTTTTCCCCTAATATACTAACTAAATGTATAATTTATGGCTAATACTAATTAGATGCATTTGTTTTTCTTGTTAATGAATCGGGTTATATTCAAATTCCTATTGTGTTCATGTTTATTGGTAATTTAACATCTCTGCTCCCACAAAAAGAAAAAGAAAAAAGTTGAACAATGCACTATAGAAATGGTCGTCATAATGACGAGAGTGAGTTAGATTGGTTGTTGTTGACTATTGCCCCCAAGAGTTTCAAACCACTAGTGTGTTGACATTGACTTGGACCTGGTGGCTAGTTGCTTACTGTAATCGCATTATCTTTTAAATTAATCTATTTAAATTTGAATTTTATCGTACGACTATGTCACGATATTATTCCAAATTTCTAACCCTATGTTTTGCTTCCCAATAATAATGTTGAAAACAACAATCATGGAAAAAACAAAGGCACAGTTTTGTGAGAAATCTCAGAAATATTTTTATTTTTATTTTGAGAATTTATTTAGTTTAATGTAACGTGAAATTACAATGACGACTCTCACGCTTTTATATATATATTTTTTCTCATTTGGACGTGAGCATATATTTCTAATTCTTATATTTAGCTTTGTAGTCACTCCAGAGCTGATCAACACTCTTTCCCAACAGCTCAACAAAGAAGTTGACACTATATTCAGTTTTCATCTTCATGTTAAGTTCTGCCACAAACCCATTCTTTAAACTGTTACAATAATTCAGAGAATAGACAGTTACAGCGTATCCTTGATCCCATCGGTCACCTTGCCCCGGTTTCATCCAGTGGGTAGGCACTTACCCAGCCTTCAACCTCACATAGTCAGCAATTCCTGCAATCAACACTTTCGGAGTCTGATCATTACCATACCACTGTCAAATATACGTCAACTCATAATATAATATTCCAGTGATCTCGATTTTAACATTGTCCAAGTAATTTTGTATGTAATTTGTACTAACGTGTATCTCATTATTGGTAGCATATGAAATTACATCGATATCTTCAATGAACAGGCTCACTTGTTGCACATTCTTTCTATGTGGATCGGTGTTTTGTTGGAGTAGACTCCATATGAACTGTGTAGAGGAATTGAGTGTGTTCAGAGTATATGCAACTCCAATTTCATTTATGAATCGGATACCACCAGGGGTTGTTGGCGCCTGGTTGGATACATTGTATATGACTGCATAGCTTCCTTGCAAGGAAGCCAGCATTAACAAGGAAGAAAGGAAGAAGATGATCTTAGCCATTGCTCTTAGATGCTATTATTTTTTTCTTGTCTGTGGATTTTGCACAAGTAAAGCTTAATGGAAGTGTCATCTATTTATAGATAAATGGGCTAAAGCGTATCAGCCGCAAAGTTGGAAGGACCTGGTTGTATCATTGCACTCGGAATCTGATACAGTCAAGAGAATTTCAAATTGAGGGAATACTTAAATGGTTATTCTGATTCGATTCTCTCCGATATGTTTTTTTCTCAAGATAATCTATACGTATCGATCATAAATGTGCATTAAAATAACATACAAGTACCTATAGTGAATTTTACTTGAATTCATAATAAGAAATAGACAAAAAGTACATTAAAGAGAATCTGGATGAAACTACCTAATTGGATCTCTTCTTATGCTTTTTTTTCCTTATTCCCTCTATAGTAGATCATACTTGTGTACTTGAGCGACATCTAATTACGTATACTGGGTTTCATTTAAGTTCATTGTAGGTAATCTATCTATATTATGATAAATCAAAACAAAAATTATATTGAAGAGGATTTAGA